ATACACTAACAAGCTTCTGCCTATTTCATTTGTTAAGCATTTGAGCTTTGTTTTCAACTGTTGTTTGTTTAACAACTATTTGAATTATGTCGAGACGTTAATTGTCGTGTAAGAGCGAGCACTGCTATTATTACACTTATTAGAAGCTCTCAGCATATACTTATTTTTATATCGTGTCACAATCAATATGTTCGTTGTGTCGAATCTCAATTAAGCAGGTTTTAGAGTTCATACTATTTTTGGTCTTTAGACATGCTGTAGAGGGAAGCAATTTTCATCTAAACATATCTATTTATATTTCTTAAGGTAGTAAGAGATGCATTTTCTACTACATTTTAAAAACTTTGTTTTGAGACGCTTTTATTAGGTTCAGTTAGATTAGGCGACAGCTTCTTCCGCTTAAGACTGACCCAATTTGTAGAATGATTTCTTGAGATTATATATATATAACATAATGTACATATTATTAACATTTCCAAACTCCCAATTTACGTCATTTATAAAATAAAACACAATTTTTTCTCTATAAATTTTCACTATTAGGTAAAATAAACGATGGCATCAACCCTATTTTAGACCTACTTGTGTATTTATTGAGTTACATGACAGATTACACCCGGGAAACCATCTCATGGAAAGGCCTTTGTCTTACAAGAAATACAAATACCTTGTCGTTTTCTTTATTATCTTAACTTTTTTTACTTCTCGTCTTTTGCGTCCATGCGTGTAACGAGGCATGTTCAAATGCAAGCTTTTCAAATTGGTTTTTTAATCTGGATTTATAATAGGCATAATTACAAAGTTATATTACGCTATATTTTATGCTGGTGTGTTTTAATCTATTTTGGACTTAAACAAATGGCTGGGAGTCGTGACTTTTGGTTGTTAGTCGAAGCTTTTAGTGTTCGATGTTTTTGTTGATAATCACTACACAAAAGTTTTGTTTTTAGTCTTTATTATTTTTGCACGATGTAATTTACTCATTCAGTAACATTTTAAAGCAGTATGAATAATTCTATATCAAAATGTAAATAGAAAGTATTGAAGCAATTACTGAATATAACAAAATGTTATTTAATCACTTAAGTCATTACATTTACTATTTATAGTACAATTCAAGTAATCTATCTTCTAAAATATATTTTCTATTATAATAAAAGTGTATGGTTCTTCGCTCGACAAGAATACATCACATAAACTAACCGTTGTGTATAGATCAAAGTATGATCAATTTCTTTTGTATTGGATATTTTCAACAAAAGAATGTTCCGATTTCATTTTCTACTTGATGATTCTTACAGGCTTTTACTTCAACAGCGCCCTCCGCGCGCACACATACTGCAATTGCCAAGCGTAATGATTATGATTTATGGTACATAGTGTTATATGTATATATTTATAAGTTATATATGTATAGAGTATCAACTATCTGGTATCCATAACACAAGCCTCATAGCTTATCATGGAACTAGATGGTGCTGTGTTTAATGTCCCAACATATTTATTTTGTTTATTTATTATTCTTTTTATTCCACATACGTTCTTGATCGCTAACTCTCAAAATTACGTGCATAATCATGCTTTTTTAACTAGGACAATTTTGGCGGGTTTCGTCTATTGTATTCAGGCCTTTTTAACGTCCCACTCCTGAGCACGGGCATTCCTTCAATACGAGGGGGATCAGGCCATAGTCCACCACGCTGGCCAAGTACGGGTTGGCGGACTTCACGTGTCTTTCGAAAACTTGCTAGGTTATCTCAGACATGCAGGTTTCCTCACAATGTTTTCTTTCACCGTAAGACAAGTGGTAATCATGTTGGAATTGATTCGCATGTGAAAATATCAGAGGTGCGGCACCCGGGATTTGGACCCGCTTTACATGATTTTCCAAGTGAGCGCGTTACCACTGAGCTACCACTGTATTATCTAGCTGAATCTTAATTAATCTATACGTATAATAAAATTATAACCAAGCCGAATCTGTACATTAGATATTTTTTGGAAAATCTTATTGAAATAAATATTATTATGGATACAGAGGCCGAATCTTTAGTTTGAAGATTTTTTGTCTGTCTGTCTGTTTGTTTGTTACCGCATCACAGAAAAACCAATAGAGGGATTTTGATGAAATTTAGTATCGTGATAGCTGGTTATCCGGGTCAATATATACTTTTTACCGCGGGAAAATATCTCATTTCTGAGAAAAAATACAAAAACTGCATTGTAAGAGTATACTAATATGTAAAATCTAAGAATTTAGTTTTTGGTCATCTGAACGCGGGCGGAGCCGCGGGCAATGCTATCATAATAATTGCATGAAAAGTTGGTACCATTGTTCAATTTATTTTTCCAACAAATTTATATCCCTATGTTTTTATTTATCAGCTAAAGGACGTCCACTGTTATTAATTTTCATAAATATATATTATAATTAAAAAATAAATAGTTAACAAATAATTTATAAGTTATAATTTTTTTGTAACTAAGTTTAAAACATGAAATCAGCAATATATTGGACAATTATAAATTTAAATTTACAAAATCCATTAAAAGTAATTTATTATTTGAAGGATTATATTATTAACCCCGGTGACTCTACTCAACACAAACATCTGTATCTGTACACAAAATTCGTGAAGCACGCACACATTGAAATTTATGTTTGATTCATATTTAGTTTAAAAAACTTATTTTCATCTGAGGTTCAGTATTATTCGTCCAACGACTATTTAATTGCTTTGGTTATACTTTCTAAAGTCTGTACAGATTTATTTAAAACTAGCAGCTCACCCTCGCTCCGCTCGGGTTCGCCTCTTGAAAAGCACAAACAGATCTATCCCACAGAAACTGTTATTTTTCCGGGATAAAAAGTAACCTGTTGTTTGACCGGTGATATAAGGTACCACCACGCAAAATTTAATTTAAATCGGTCTAATACTTTCGGAGAGTAGCCCGTACAAACAGACAAGCAGACAAAAAGACAGACAGAGAAACAAAAATTCGAAAAAAATCTGGTTTTGTTCTATTTCTCTTCTTACACCCCCCTGACTCGGTTTTTAGCATTTTTCTCTATGTACAGACATTCGACCTCTACAGTTTTATTATAGTATAGATTTATTGCAAAATGGAAACACTTATGGCGGTAGAAATAACTTTTCCTTTAATATGACCTGTTTTAATCATGTACCTGTGTTTAAAATGAGTAGGTACATATATACGTAGTGTATAATTAAACTTTTTTGATTTACGTTACTTTGAAGGGTCAGCCTTTTGGCATCTGATTAAGAATTCCCGTCACGATTGCCCCTTTATTTGTTTGTTTCTGAACTACATAATATATATTTAATCGTTATGTAAGAATAATGATTTCACTTAAGAAACAAATACTTCAATCCAAGCGAATAAGTTTAAGAAGTTTGTGTGGGTTTCCACACATCACGGGATCACGGGAAAATCACTGGATGGATTTTGATTAAATTTTGTATGATGATAGGTGGTTATCCAGGTCAAATTAAAAAAATCAACCCAAATTGAGTGATATAATAATTATAATACTATATATTATAATCTATAAGTCTGAGTCGCGTTCAATGTAGACAGGGAACAGCATAACAGTATGAACTACCATTTATGTGCTTCCTATCCGTCTGTAATTAAAAAAAGGCATATCTAATCAAATACATCAATTATAACCAAAGTAGCGAACCAAAAACATATTATATGAATTGTTAACCGACGAAAAAAGGAGGAGGTTCTCAATTCGATAAATTAAACGACTTTTTTAAAATTCTCCTGATGCGAACATGATGATCATGTGATGATGATGTTCTCCTAGCCGATTCCGGCTACGGCGGCTAATCTCATTGAGATTAGCCAACTGCGCAGGAGATATTATAGTGCTCAAGTGTACGCGCAGACACAAGTGCACTCTCTATTCCTATCACTCTCATACTCCGGTGGGACGACAGCTGGACACGACCAGTGAGAGTTAAGGCGCAGGACCGACGGCTTTACGTGCTCTCCGAGGCACGGGGGTGAAACACCGCTAACTTCCCAACTCCGGGCTGTTACTGAGACTTACTATACAGAAAGACTCAATAACTAAACTTGGCCCGAACCGGGACTCGAACCCAGGACCTCCGAGGGTGCAGCCGTACATGCTAGCCACTACACCACCGAGGCAGTTGATGTTTGATGCAAACATAACTATTAATTTACTAAAAACAAGTAATAAGAATTATTAAAACCGCAGCTTAATGTATACACTCACTAGTGCTTCGAGTAGACTCATGTAAAATTCTTAGGTCTGGATTTAGCATCAGATAATACCTAGTTATCTATGCATTTAGGTCACGATGTACCATTTCTTCGGGAACAATGCTGTACAAGCTGGCAGCAACGACTTAAGATTATCAACAATGAAACTGCAAGCTTTTTATTTATTATAAAACAACATTCATATTTTAAGATTATAAAATAGATTTATGTTTTAGTATATTTATGTACGAGTTTTTCTTAGCAGAGTAGGCAGGAAGAAATAGTGTCACCCCAATTCGTCCTACATTTTTTATCTACTATCAATTTATGTTGATCAAAAATTAAAAAAAAATATTTTTTCAGGCTAAACACAAACACGTTTATCGCAAGTGAGTAACTTGCATTAAATACTGCACCATTGGTCACAGTTGCAATTGAAACTCGACATATTCTTTATATTTAACCGATTCCAAAAAGGAGGAGGTTCTCAATTCGATCAATTATTAAAAACTTTTTTCTTACAAATTACCTGCTTATTACGTCTACACTATAAATGAAAAAATAAAAACTAAAAAAAAAAAACACTTCCAGGCACTAAAATGTAAAAAATAACTAAACGGGGGTTTCATTTAGAATAGATACCTAATATATATATATATATATATATATATATAATATTTATATTCCTATCACTGCTTATGAAATTATTTAAGTGTATGATATTTTTCAAATATACAACTTACCGCTCTATCAGCAAGATTGCGCACTCTACAATGCAGATACGCGGGCTGCCCCACGGCGGCGGTAGCCTCGCGCTTCGTACTGTTGTCGAAGTATGGCTGCCCGAGAGGCTCCCAGCCCCCGCCGCCAGCTGTTACACCTACGATAAAATAATATAAAGTTTAGAAATCAACAAAATTCTTTGTTTTTTTCTTCATGATCAAATATCGTAAACTATATTTAGAGAAAAACTGTGACTCTAAAACTCTTTTGAAATTAAAAAGGAAAATGGTGGGTAATGCCTAATTCATACATGTACCGAATAATATAGTAACTTAGCGAAATCTATACATTAAATATTTTTTTAAATACAATTTCTGCAACGTATTGCACGTAATAAAAAAAATAACATATAAGTAATAAAAATAAATATATAAGTATAGAATTTAGACCCCAAAACAATAGTTATTAAAATATTTGTATGTTTATCTGTATGTATTGTCTGTGTGCGTTTCACGCAAAAAGTACTAAACCGATTTTAACTAAGTTTTGTTAAAATGATAACAGATAACTCGGGTCAACATTTAGAATATCTTTATTGAAGAAAAACTTTTATTTCGTCGGGAAAACAGTAAAACTGATTCTGTCGAGTCGTCCATAGAAAGTTATTATACATAGCTAACGCCGGCTCACCCTTAAAACATATTATGTACATTAAAACAATGTACTACAAAATTGTAGGTTTTAAAAAGGCCTACAGAAAAGTCTACAATAGCATAATATGTCTATTTCCTAAGGTACACTCGCAATAATTATTTATATCTACCTAAAACATACCTAGCGATGCAAGTAGCTAGTATTTACATAAAAGTACATTTTTAACCGACTTCCAAAAAGGAGGTTCTCAATTCGTCGGAATCTTTTTTTTCATATGAATATTTTTTTACAAATATCCTCGCGTTATCTAGCAAAAATTTTGTTATCTTAGTATAACGAATATAAAATATAATGTAATAACGAATATAAATCTTCGAAATACTCGTATATGAACAAATGTAATATTGGCAAGGACGCGAATTTATCTTAAACTCATTAATAGATAATGATTTTTCGAAATTTAATAAATAATAATGTATTTAAGTTTCTGAGCTACATAAATTATTATAAATCTTTTTTTTTTAAACACTTTATTGCACACGAAAATTGTACATTAACAAAAAAAATACAATTAAGGGATGTGCAAAGGCGACCTTATCACTAAAAGTTATTTTTTGCAACTAACTTAGAAAAGGATACAAGAAAATAAATGAGAAGAGCGGAAAGGTGCATAAAGTGCGAGTCACAAAAAAAACTTGTAGGTGAGTGACTGTGTTTAATTAACAAACCAAATCAAACCAAAATATTTTGTTCAGCATTAAATTATTACAATTTTTACTGAACGTCATGAGTCTACTACCAGTTCGGAAAGACGAAGCCTCAGACCTGATTATCAACAACAGATTTATCAATTTTAAAATAACTTTCAAATGATACCCAAGTTGTATTTCTTTAACTTAACTTCAATAGCGCAATATATGTACGATTTAAACTATAGATACTAATTAATACAAAATATATATTTAAATTTTAAATTCTAATTTTAATACAAAAAAACTGGTTGGTTAACTATGAAATAAATTACAGAAACGTATTTTTGCCCTAATACACTTGTGGCATCATATAAATAGAGTGCGATAAGCAGTTGCGGTGACCGCAGCCATATAATCACTACTAAGTGACGCAAATAATATGTAAAGATGCGGTACTTTGTGGTATTTATTTACTTTAGAAACTTTGCCTTTGATCTATTGACACTATATTTAATGACAAATGCCCTAAATATCAAGTCTCCTAAAGCAATTTAACTTCGAAATCGTTCGCTGTAGTATAAGGTATTTTAAATAACCCTTATATTTGACGGGATTTCCTTTAAAATCAAAGACGACCTACTGTATAGATTTAAATACTGTGACTTTTACATAGAATCTACTCGTGTGTATTCTATGTATACATATAATAAAATTGTAACTAAGCCGAATCTGTACATTAAATATTCTTTAGAAAATCATATGAAAATAGACATTATTATCGATACAGAGGCCAAAATTATAGTTTTTATAATTTTTGTCTGTTTGTCTGTCTCTGACCGCATCACGGAAAAACTACTGGAGGGATTTTGATAATAATTGGTGTGATGATAGCTGATTATCCGGGTCGACATGTAGGATAAATAAATAAATAAGTATGTCAGGACATTAACACACAACACCATCTAGTTCCATGGTAAGCTACGAGGCTTGTATTATGGATACCAGATAGTTGATACATTATACATATACAACTTTTAAATACATACATATTATAAATATAAACACCCATGACTGGAGTACAAACATTCGTGCTTAGCACACAAATAAATGCCCACAGCGAGACTCGAACCCGCGACCGCTGGCGCAGCAAGTAGGGTCACTACAAACTGAGCCAAACGTGTCAACAACAATCTGTTTTACTGTGGGAAAATATCTCATCTCTGAGAAATCTAAATGTTAAAACGTAAGCATGGGCGAGCCCGAGCGGAGCGAGGAAGAGTCGCTAGTCTTAAATATCTAAGACTACCTCTCTTACTATTGAACTTAACGGCCATAATATTTAGTGTTAGATTTCTATTCATTACATTGTGATCAGTTAATTTCATTGCATGTGTGTTATGCTAAAACGTATTTTATTAATGCTGCCGGCTTTAATACTACGCACCGTAATCTCTACATGCAACCGACTAAACAGTTAATAAACTTAATTTAATCATGTTGATTTTGGCAGCTATTGTAAGTGTAATACAGTAATGATAACGTTAAGAAGTGTTAAACGTCATTTATTTTTGAAAGCATATTTAAATTAATATATAATTAACTAGTGATATAGCCTCGCTTCGCTCGTGTGCGTCCCTAGGCTCGCTTTAAATACAGAAAAATAGTTATTGTGAGTGGCACATACTGTTGAAGAATTTTCTGTATGTCTTTCCAACACGCAATATCTCTTGTACATTGTACATTGTACAACAGAGTTCAGCATTTTGTACATAAATGTAAAAATTATATCGAAAATTCTCCTCCTTTATGGATCCTTCTATTATTATTTTTATGGTAGTCAGTGATAAACGAGCAGACAACCTACCTAATGGAAAGCGGTACCTGTCGCCTATAACACCTACGGTTCATGCACTTATGTTTTACGTAACAAAACTGCAGAACCCGTACGATCACTGTGAGGACAAAGATAATATACCTCTTGCTTGTAATTGCGCTGGCTACCTTACCCTTCAAACCGGAATACAACAATGTAATCATAGTTGCTTGGCGGGATAAATAGATAAGGGGATGGTACCCATCCAGTCGGACTCCTCACCTGCTTGACAGACTCCTACCACCGGTAAATAAGTCCTTTTATTAGTAGAAACTCTATTAAAACCTTGTTGTGTGGCTCTAAACCACATATCGAAATTAAGTGGTCAAACGAGGCCGATAGCAACTTTGTTTTACACAAGTAGGTACTATGTAGAATTTTGTATTTTCCGGTGAAAATGACAGATTATATGGCACCTAATTGTTAAATATGTTAATTTTTAACACTGCTACTAAGAGTTTTTGTGTGAAAGAGCACTCGGCCGAACCAGTTATTGTGTTTTACCCTGGAAATGAGCGATTTTTCTGTAGTAAAAAGTATCATAAGTGTTGACTCTAGTAATATGTTATCACTATACAAATTTTAGTAAAAATCTGTTCAGAACTTTTTGTGAAAAGTACACAGATATACAAACAAACAGACAAAAATTTGAACAACTATTGTTTTGAGGTGAATTTTCTGTATCCAATGCATAATAGTCATTGTTTTTTTTTTTAATATTTCATGCACTGATTTCACTTTATTACTATTTTATTATATACATATAATAAAATTCAAACTGAGTCCAAGCTGTACATTATTTTTCTTTTTAAACATCATTGAAATAGTAATTATTATCGATACAGAAGTCGAATCTATAGTTTTAGTATCTTTGTTTATATATCTGGGAACGCATCACGAGATAACCACTGGCTAGATTTTAATGAAATTTGGTATATATTGATAGCTGGTTGTGCGGGTCAAAAGAGTTCAAGAGGGTGAGTCGCTAGTGTATAGATATGAGTAAATGTATTACGTATATGGATATAAATGCTCGTCTTACACTCGAACTTTTTGCATTTTCCTATGAAAATAAGAGATTTTACTACAAATTACTAATTAACTAAATTGTAAAATATGTTAGTTTTAACCTTGTTCCTAATAGCTAGTTTTTGTGTAACAAGTCACTGAAATTTTTGTCTGAGGGACAGTTCGGCCGAAACATTTACTGTATTTTCTCGTGGGAATAAGAGATTTCTGTAGTAAAAGGTATCCATTTAGGTTGACCAAAGTAATAAATTATCACTACGTAAATTTTAGTTAAAATCCGCTCAGTAATTTTTGCGTATAAAATGATCAGATAAACAGACATAAAGAGAAAATTTCAACCACTATGATTTTAGGGCCATATTTTGTACACAATACATAACTGAAGTCATTATTTTGGAAAAATATTTTATATACAAATTTTGGTTTGTTTCTATTTTACTGTACTCGTATATAATCGTATCGTCATATATATCGTATGTAAGGCAGTTACAATTTTAGTACTTATTTAGTTATTAATGCTACCAGGTTCTATGTGTCATTAGCTACAGTTTTGCAAAAACAAACCACTAGATAGCGGCACTTTAACTACAAAATATTCAATTTTCATAGTTCTATGTTGTTTTTCTTACGATAGCAAAATAACGAAGTTCTATGTAAAAATTACTAAACTTTATTAAAATTAACATAGAACCTTGTAATAGTAAGCCAACGAATTATGAAGTCGGCCAACTTGCACTGAGCGTGGTGGACTATAACTTAATAACAGAGGGATATCTATGCTCAGCAGTAAGACTTTAAGGGATAAATATATTTAAATTAATATTAAAACATCAACTATGTTGTTAAAATGACTTTAAATAAGCAACGTCACTTCAAGCCATGGCCTGAACTTTGATTTACTGTTTGTAA